AAAGTGAGAAAAATTCGACAAGGGAAAAGAAGAGTGATTCACAGATGTAACAGACAGACAGACAGACACAAAGGCAGAGAAAAGGCTAGATGAGTACTGTGGAAGGGGTCGAATATGACATACAGTGGGGTTATGGAAGTTTGAAGTCAGAGGTCAACTGCCAGTTAATAGACTTTTTTGCCGTATGAGTATACGTTGCCCAGGGTGCACCACGTGGAGGTAAGTCTATCGCACACCCCGTCATTTGAAATAAATTAGTAAATATTTACAACCCCAATACCTCAAAATGATTGGAAGAAAGACCTCAATTTTTTTCGGAGTAGAGCTCATCGCCTTGCCAGCCCTCATCTTTATAATTAGCTGAATTCACTCAGAGCTTGTAGACAAGTTGATTAAGTTGAATGATTGTTTATGCAACTTTGATTCATTTGCATCTACTCACGTCAATGAGCAAGTGGGCCTTAACCGAAAAGCTAGTTTCAGCATTGCAGAGTTCATATGAGTTCGTTCAGTGTGCAATCTGAAAATACTTTAATCAAATATAATATATATTTCCAATAAGCATATTGTGATTAAGTGGAAAAAACGAAATTAAGGAAATAATTAAATAAGTGAATTAAAAAAGATTGAAAACGTCTATCTATTTGCGCGTATTCTTGATTTAATTAATGTTTCCTTTTGCCAACTGAATTCTCTTCGAATTACCCAATAAAACAACTTGAAATTAAGAAATAAATGGAGTCTATTGTGTAATCATTAATACAGTTTTGGGATTACAAAAACCCTTTAGCGATATATATATATATATGTATATATATATATATAATATAATATAATATAATTTATATTATCATCGGCAAATTACAGTTCCAAATGAAGAAATAAAAGTGCATAAGAACCAATAAGATTAGATGGAACATTGGACATATCCGGCTTTTCCGCAATCATATTGCCTTTTTTAGAGCGGCAATTTTACGCAAAACCAGACATTTTTTTCGGGCAATAAACCGTTGCACTGAAGAGACAGTATTCAGCCATTTTTTATTAGCGGATAAGAATCCACAGGCGTCTCGAATTCTGGCGATTGTCAGTCAGATTATCATTTTCTGCTGGTATATGGGTCCTTCAGTGAAAATCCGGCAAAAAGAACATTTGATCACATTTGCTTGCATACTGATCGGTGCAACGGGACCCAATAGATCCGCTTTCGAAGGTGAAATAGAGGCCATTAGGATAGCACTAAGCCAATTATGTTGCCTGGATATGAAATTCACCAAAGAGGTGATACTTTCGGACTCACAGTCAGCAACAAACTCAATTAGAAACAGAGAGCTACCCAAAACAGATGAGATATATGAATGTAAAAAACTGTATCAGCTGCTGAGAGAGAAAAACAAAACAGTGGTCTTACAATGGATTTCTGGCCACTGTGACATTAAAGGCAATGAGCTTGCTGACATACATGCTAAGGAGGGAACAACGATTTTGCAAGGCATAGACCGGCCAGTGTCTTTCCACACAATGAAGGCCTTAATCAGGAGAGAATTCAAGACCTCAAGATACAACGAACTTAAAGCTCGAACAAAGGAGAAAACATACCTCAAGGTGCAACGAAATTAAAGCTCGAACACAGGAGACGTGGACAGGATACAACGAACTTAAGGGGGTATTCTGGTCTAGAGAGATGAATTTTAGGTAATTTTTGAAGTGCTGTAAAAAAGCAAGCAATATTTTTATTATCAATTTTTTTGTACATTATTTATTCACATTAGAAACATACAAAAAATAAAATAATCAAAATTCCGATAGCTATCAGCTGATGGAGTGTGCGTCTCAAATATTCGGTGCGTGGCCATACCCACGATTTTAACTCTCCTAGCAATCTGAAGTCAAAAATAAAAAAGATTATCAATCTACGATAATGCTGCAATGTCTGGAACTACGGAAAGTTACAAAGATGTTTTTTATAAAATGGCAACCGTCTAAAGAAAAAAAACCATTTTTGTACCACTTTTTTGAACATTCTTCGATTGTTTAAAAATAGTAAAAATGAAAATTTGAGAATGGTCGAAGTTCCGGACGTAGACAAGTCCTTAAAGAAGACTCTCTTAACATTTCAAGTAAATCGGTTCTTCAGAACCTGAGAAATCGTGGGTATCAGATTCAAAAAGACAGTTTTGAGAAAAACGCGTTTAAAGTTTCAAGTAAAATGTTTTGCAGTCTAAGTCATAAAATTATATTTTCAAGTTACATTTATTCAATCTGGCATTCCTGCTGCATGCATCGCACCTTCCTCGGGTTCGAAAAAATTATTTTCGGCGTCTCTGTTTTCTATTCGAGCAGTTCTGGCCTCCTTTGGTGCGCTGGATGCTCGTATCTTGGAGCCGTCAATCCGGTCGTTGTCTCGTCTGATAGTAAATGCATGCGCTTCTAGACCAATTTTCACTCCCATAATCGTAATTATCTTCAATATCGGTATAAATTCTTCATTAAAAATACACACAGCAATAAGTATTGCTATTTCAATGATCTGAGACCCGGAATGGATAAGCTTCAGACCCGGAATGGATATGCTTTGGAGCGAAAGTCCATATCAGCGAGTTTAGAGACTCCTTAATATTTTGAGTCTCTCAACCCAAACATCGAATCAATAACTCTTCTGATGATAAACTTCGAAGGATTTGTCAACGAATGGACATGATGGAATGTAGCGTAGACTATTGCAACTGCATCGTAATGCAACTTTGAACCCTAGTCCGTGCTGAGCCGTTCTTGAAATCTAATCTCATTGTTGTATGTAGTATACGAAACAAACAAAGAAATTGCTGAAATTTTTTTCTCTAGACCAGAAACCCCCTTAAAGCTCAAAAAAAGGAGAAACAGTGGTCAGTAAAGCTCTCCAACATAGCCGACTGGCCAAGAATCGAAGCCGTTGCTGAGTTTAGACTACGTAACGGACACGATTGCCTAGCAAAGCTCCTTTACAGATTGGGAGTAGGCACTCAACCCACATGTCCCTATGTAACCTACAGCCCTAAAGACAACGACGGAAACCCAGAGACCCTGGAAAGCAAGAAGACAGCTTATGAACTGCTATTAATTAACTGATATAAATGTAACTCCCCCCCACCCATGGGGGAAGCTGAAGTCAAAGTTTAATGGCTAATGATAAATACCATAAAGCCCGGCATTTGAAAAATATACTGATCGATATAAAAGAGTGGTTAGCGAGTATTCAATGTTCATTGGTTCGCACGCTGTGATTTGATGAAATATGTTGGGACCACTTCTGATAATCCAGATGAGTGATAGAATGTCCTTTTTTCTCACAGATAAATTTTTCTTCAACTCAATGGAGGTACTAGTAATGAATTTTTAATGCGCTATGAAAAAGCATTGCTCATACACTTCCTCGTATTGATTATGTCGGTTACAAATCCTCCTTCAAATAATTAACAGATGGTGATTATAAGTCGATAAGTCTTATTATTGACATTAGCCTTAAAACGTTTATGTTGGTCTTGAAATACACCATTGACTGAATAGTGGATAAAATTTTGAAATAACTTGAGAACTCAAATCGATTATTTCATTTGCTCTCACTAAACTATACGAGTGTGAAAAGTATCTCCATGCCAAAACAGTCATTAAAAATAGATAGGTAAGAAAGTATACCGAAGAAATTATGTCTCAGAAATCAAATTTTACTTTATTTGATCTAACTGGGAGGTGCTTTGGCAAGAACACGATGGCGTCTTTATTAAACCCGTCGTTTCTATGCATATACCCCTTTAATCATAACGTCTATACTCAAAGCTTTCCCACTCACTTGAGATCTCTATCAGCGTCTCCTATTGCACGCAAATTTTCTAGCTCTCCTAGTTTATCAGTGTTGTGGTAGGTCTTTTGTGAATTGCTATAAGTTAGTTAAATCAAATATTTTATATTCAGTCAAATTTATTTATTTATATCAAATGGCAGGCGTCTTGATGGTTATCATCAGCCCTTTAGTTGACTTCAGGCTTCACAGAGGGGAAGGAACATCAAATTGAAAAAGTCGATAGGGGGGGGGGGGAACAGAAGAGTGCTTCAAAGATGTAAGAGACAGACACAAAGGTAGAACAAAGGTGAGGTGAGTACTGTGAAATATTCGAATATGGCATAGAGTAAGGTGATGGTAGTTTGAAGTCAGAGGTCAACTGCCGAATAATAGACTTTTTTGACGTATGAATATACGTTGCCCAGGGTGCACCACGTGGAGGTAAGTCTATCGCACACCCCATTCAGTTAAATTTTAAGGTAATAATAAAGCGTTTCGAAAGTGAAAGTTTGTTTTATATTTAAAATACCCCCTCCCCCATATTTGAGAGCGAAACAACGAAAATGAATTTAAAAGTTACAGAAAATGAAAAATTAAAAAGAAAAAAAGGTTATATCTTAAATTTTGTTGATGAAAAACTTTTCTAAAGCATTTATTTTAGTAAAAATAACCAGCTTATAATAAATATTATGGGGGTGTGCGATAGACTTACCTCCACGTGGTGCACCCTGGGCAACGTATACTCATACGGCAAAAAGTCTATTAACCGGCAGTTGACTTCTCACTTCAAACTACCATGGCCTGACTGCTTGTCATATTCAACCCCTTTCACAGGTCGCATCTTACCTTATTTTCTACCTTTGTGTCTGTCTGCCTCTTTTACATCTGTAAATCGCTCTTCTGATCCCCACCCCTCGACTTTCTGCTACTTTGATGAACCTTCCTTCTGTGAAGCCCGAAGTCAGCTAAATGGCTAATGATAGCTATCATAACG